CCCTGCCTGAGAGGCATCAATATGGAGAGGAACAGCTTGTTCCTCACATTCCCATTCAAAGGACCAGCAAGCAAATCCCCTCCAGCCGGGCCCTCCTCCCCGGCACGGTCCCCACCAACCCCACAGAGCCCAAAGGGGCCGGCGGGGACCACGCCGGGTGGTGATGGTGGGAGGTTTGTGGTCCTTCAGCTCTGGCTCACACACCCGCATGCTGGAGCCCTGGGCTGTCCTCCAAATTCAGCAGCGCTGCGGGGCGAGCCCATGCCGTGCTCCTGCTGGCATTAAACGGGTTCAAGCAGGGAGGTCTGCAGGGCAAAGCCATAGGGTGCCCAGCTCCGGGGATGGGGATCTGGCTGGAAGCATCCTCCACAGGACCACGGTATGGCTGCGTGGGGCAGGATGCAACCCTAGAAGAGCTGGGACTGGATCCAACCCCGTGGCGGGGTGACATGTGGGAGCAGCAGAGGAGCCCTTCAATTCCCCCTCGAGACAGGACTCCTTATCCCTCCAGGAGGCCCTGTACAGCAGCTTTCTGACCCTCTGAGCATCCTCCTTGCTCCGCATCCCTTTGCAGGGGCCAGCACACAGCAGCCAAGACGTTGCGTCCCCACTTTCCCCGTCCACACGAAAGCCACCACGCAGCAACGTCAGCCCGTAGCGAGACGGACAAAGCCAGGACAGGGCCAGCCATAGCCCAGCGAGCGATGCCCACTGCCTGCCCGGGGGGAACAGGCAGGACGGGAGGTGGAGGAGAAAGAGGAAAACCAGTACTTCACCTGGAGCAGCAAGCAGCCGGGGGAGAGAAGCCAGGCTGCAAGGTGGCAGCTACCCGGGGCAAGGCAAGCCGAGGAGACCATCTGGATCTCAGGCAGCAAAATGAGCCACTGAGCCCCAGTGAGTCACGCTCTGCTGCCGACGGTAATGGGGGGCGTGAAAAATCACAGCAAAAAAGCAAAGTTTAAGGGCCACCACCTGCAAGGAGCAGCCCCAGCCAGCCGGTACAGGTGGGATGGGGCAAGGGCTCGGGTCCTCACCCCTCTTTGTTTTCACAGGAGATTCACAGTCTTCTGGCAAAGTTGCGCTTCAGCAGCCTTTTGGGAATTATACATTTAGGCAGAAAGCGCGTGCTTCACCCTGAGAGAAAGTGAACTGGCCACCGAGGAGGACAACCACAAAATCTCCAGACAGATGCTTCAGCAGCGTGGCTGGGGTGACATCTCCTTCTCGTCCCCATCCTCCTCTGCTACTCAGCCGTCGTTAGGGGTACCGACTGATGCCAGCTGCTCTCCGTGTTAACAGTTATTACGTCTTCTTCCAGCAAGGCTGTTACAGGGCGAGAGCGTCTCTGTCTGCATCAGCTAAAGCTGCCTGCAGGCACACACACTTATTTCTCATCACCTTTTGTGGTTTACAGGTTTCCTTGGTGGCCAGCCATGACGCTGGGCTGTGCCCCATCCCACGCGTTTGGTGAGGCTCGTGCAGAGAAACCCTGGGGGAAACCCTCTTCTTTCAGCTCATCTCCTGTCTGGAGGCTTTAGAGATTTTGATCATGGTCCATCGTCCATCTCCATCCTTTGGGGTTGGCTAGACCAGACTGGGTAAAGCCCTGAGCCAGGCCTGACCTTGGAGCTGACCCTGCTTGTGACCAGGGTTGGACCAGAAACCTTCCGAGGTCCCTCCTAGCCAGGATTACCCTACGATCCCTTTGTCCCCAACTTCAAGGGTGTTGTGCTGTCCTAATCTCAGCGGCATCGCTCCCGTGTGAGACCAGCTGCCTCCTTACACCATCTCCCCACCTTACACTGAGGCTTGGGCCAGCCAGACCTTCCCACAGCCCCTGTCCTTCAACCAGACCCCGCCAACCGTCCATCTTCAGTGCCACACACAAACATCCTCCTGCAAGCTCTGCCAGCACCTCCTCATCTCCGTTGCCTGGATGGGGGTCCTGCCCCCCCCTGCCCCCCAAGCCTGTCTTTCCTGAAGCCCCTGAGCAGGGACCCCGATGCGTTTTTCCACCTAGAAACATCCTGCAAAGGGTTAACACATGGTGCCTGGAGCTTTTAATTAGGTGTTACCAGTTCTGGAGCATTTATCAGCCCAGCTCCCTCACCAGGAGCTGGTGGCGGTGGCCCGGGGCTGTGTTACCTTCTGCCCAGGTGTTTCCATGCCCTGCTGGGGTCACACCAGCCTTGGGGTCACACCAGCCTTGGGGTCACACCAGCCTTGGGTGCTGGGACTCGGCAGGTTGTGGCCTCACCCTATAGGAACCGTGTCAATAGGTGCTAATGGAAACATCCCCACTCTTGGTATCTCTCTGGCACCCACCCTTGTCTCCAAATCCCTCCCTCCCAACCTGATTTCTCACCCCTGTCCCAGGCTTGGGGCAAGTTTTGGTGGGAGGAGGTTGCCTTCTGCTTGGGTACAGGCGTAGCCCTGGTGAATGTGGTAGCTGGGGGCAGCTGGCCCTGACAGAGGGGAACATGAGGGTCTCCACCTGCACAGCCTGGGAGTCCCTCGTTCACGGCTGATGGCCCTCCCGGCACGAGCCCTGCCCACGCTGGGAGGGCGCTGGAGGGGTTCCCACTACCCACGAGCTCCCCGGCAAGCCCAGCAGCATCCCCACCGAAGGGCTCTGCTGGCCGGGGCACTGGGGAGGCGAGGGCTTGGCGGGGGGGGGGGGGTGTCACCCTGGGAGCAGCAGGACAGCTTTGGGCTGTGTCACAGCCGAGCTGGGGACACGGCCACCACACACCCGGGGACGCAGCTTGGACCCGCAGGAGACCTGGCACTCGCGCGTTACGTGCTGTCCTCACGCAGGGGCTGCTCAAATCCTGCCAGAAAACCGATTTATTCTCCCAGTGCCCTCAGAAACCCCCGGTGGAAGGACCCGCTCCCCTGCACACCCCTCACACCGCTGTGCGGCTCGGCGGGGCGCAAGGGGCCAACACCTCCAACACCATCCCCCCTGCTCTCCTCCCCATCCTTCATGGGGTGCGGGGGCCCCACAGACGGACCCACCCCTTGCCCAGGGACCCTCCAGCATCAGGGAGTCTCAGAGCAGGCACATCTGGCCAAAACCCACCCAGCCTCCACTCTTTCAATCTCAAGTGCGTTATTTTTAACTTTCCATCCGTACGCGTTTGAGCAGACTCACAAAAGCACTGTGACCTGCTTATAAGCAAACACCCGGCGTGGAGGGGCTCCGGAAAGCTCCAGAGTCAGCTCGTGCTGAGAAAAGCACCCGAGGGCTCGGCTTCCCCCAAAACAGCAAAACATTGTCACGGGCGGCTCCGCTAACAGGTTATTTTTCACTTGGAATAACCGGACACCGCTCGCTTCGCAAGGGTGACGCGTGCAGCTCCTCATCCTTCGGGAAGGCCAAATCTGCTCCGAGCCCACTGGAACGGTTTCGGGATAAACATCGTGTTTTTGCAAAATAAATGCATTTTCTGATGCGTTCAGCCAGTAGCAGTTTTAGGCTCTAAACCAGGTGGGGCAGGGCCAGCACCGGTGGAGGGAGACACGGCCACGCGAGACGGGAGGTGGGGGTCTGGAGGGGCTCCGTTGCTGGACTTTGGAGGGTCCCCAGGGCTTTCAGGGGGGGCTCAGCCATCCTTTAAATCTCCTTCGCCTGCTCCACTCATAAGAAAACCACCTTCGCCTGCCCTTCTCCAGGCTGGAGGTGAGCCCTGCCCTGCCCACCGGCCGTGGGGCAGCACAGACCCGCTCCGTCCCCACTGCGAGGATGTGGGGCAGCCGGAGGGGGGGGCACCGTGACGGGGGGGCACCGGGCTTGGCCCACGCCTTGGCCTTGGGGTTTCCCCGCTGTTGGGGCTGGATGACGGGACCCGTGTCACGGGCTGTGTCCCTGTGCTGGATCCAGCATCAGCCCCAGGGCCACCCGCTCCTTGTCCCCACGGGAGGGTGACCCCCGGCAGCCCCCCCTGCCTGCGGGGGGCTCTGCAGGGCGAGGGCCCCCCCCCGGGAGGTGAAGGACGCCCGTGACTCTCCCTGGGGCTGCACGGAGTGTGGAGGGGGGCGGGAGGTTTGGGGAAACTGCACCCATGTTCCCACCCCTGCGACCCACAGTTGGAGGGCTGACCCCTCATCCCCGTCCCCCTGTGATGCAACCGGAGACCTGGACCCGGATCCCCATTCCCCCCCCCGCCTCGCGTGATGCAACGGGGGTCTCCGTGGGGGCCGTGGCGGAGCTCCGCAGGGGGCGGGAGCAGCAGTGCCCGGGACCCCCCCCCACCTCCCCCGGGCCCCCGTCGGGGCGGCCCCGAGCCCCGGGAGGCGGTGCCGCCCCCCAGCCCCCCCCGTCGGGGCACGGCGCTGGCGGGAGGCGGCTGAGCCGCAGAAGCCGATCGTTCGCCGCCGCGCTCACGTCGCGGAGCCGGGGTCGCCGGTTCCGCCGGGGCCGCCGGGGCCGCCGCTGCGCCGGGTAAGCGGACGGGGGGAGGCGGCCGCGGAGCGGGACCCCCGCGGGCACCGAGCTGGATCGGCCGGGGACCCTCGGGGCGGGGGGAGCATCCACGGTGGCCGTGGAGCACGGGTGGGCGCAAACCGGGGGGTGTCCGTGCTGGAAGGGGGGGGGGGGGGCGCTGTCCAGCCTGGAGCGATGGGGAGCACCCGGGGATAGCGGGGGGGGGGAGCTCTGGCTGCTTCTCCCTCCGGACCCCTCCGGCTGGGCTGTGCGGGGAGGGGGGACTGCGGAGGTGGGTGTCTGCGAGCAGGAATGGGGCCGGGAGGTGATGGGGCGCAGCAGATTTGGGGGGGGTCCCATCCTGGGTGGCAGGTAGCGGCAGGGGGAAGAGGCACAGCAGGTCCCAAGGGAGCCCCCGGAGAGGTCTCCTCGCCTTCCCCTGGGGTTGTCCCCTGCAGCCCCCGCCCCTTCCCGGGGCAGGGTGGCAACAAGCCACCCCTGAGGTGCTGGCCACCTGCTGGGGTGAGCAGCGGTGACACCGGGGGTTGTCACATCAGTTACCGGGATGGCTTTTGGGCTTTTGCTCCCTTCCAACTTCGGCGGCACGGCCCCCTCGCTTGCCAGCTCCCCCGGGGGCTGGCAGCCGTGCTGTGGAACCTGGCAAGGCTCGCCCAGGAGGTGTGATCCAGTTATGCCCTGGCTGCTCTGCCTGATGCTCCCCGAGGTTTTGGCCCCAGCAGGGAGCTGTGACAACCCAGGACATGCCTGTGGCTGGCACATGCACCCCGGTTCTTCTCCTCGGGGAGCGCATCCCCTTGTCCACACCAGTGTGGGTGGCCAGCAGAGCCGTGCCATCCTCAATCCTCCACCTCTCACTCAGTATTTGGGTCCCCAGCTCAGCCCGAGGCGCACCCCAGTGCTGGGAGCACTGGCCACGGGCCGGCGGGGGGCAACCATGAGGGACGTGTTCGGGTCCGGGTACCGGCAGAGCCTCGTCCATCTTGCCTGGATGTGCCTGTTCTCCTCCATGCCGGTAAGGGGGGCAAACCGAGGCAGCGGGGTTGGCACTACCGGGCTTTGACCCACTGGTCCTGGCTTCGTCACATCTTCTTGCCCATCTCGAGGATGTCGGCACACAGCAGTTTGTCAGGGAGCTGCTGGGCGCCGTGGTGGGGCGGGCAGGCCGGCGGGGCAGCCGGCCGGAGGCTCTGACCCGGCTCTGGGCACGCAGAACGGCGGGGCCAAGGTGCTGGAGAAGACCTTCGAGGAGTGGATGCGGTACCGTGACGAGTGCTTGAGGAGGATGGCGAGCGAGCCTTACCCGGCAGGTACCCGGCACTGCCCCGGCTCGGGGTCGGACGTGGAGACACGCGGAGCTGGGCGATGGCTGGGGCTGGGGCCGCGTTTCATCCCTCCTCCAGCATCCCCTACGCTGGTCACCTACGGAGGGGTGAGCCGGGGGGGGGGCTCACGAGCGTCTCCACATCTCAGTTGGGATGCCCAGGGCTGGGATGGCACAGGGGGCCGAGGCTGGTGTGGGGCAGCCCACGGGCTCAGGGTGATGCCAGCCCCCTCGGAGGTGCTGGTGGGGGGGGCTGGCGTGGCGGGGATGGATGTGGCCGTGCTGCCGGCATTTGACCATCGTCTTTTCCCCTCCTTGCTGCTGTTGCAAGGGCTCTTCTGCAACCGGACTTTCGACATGTATGCCTGCTGGCCCGACGGGAGCCCCGGCACCGCCGTCAACGTCTCCTGCCCCTTCTACCTGCCCTGGTTTGAGAAAGGTGATGATGACCCTCTGCCGCTGCAGAGCTGGAAGCCAGGGCTGAGCCATGCTGGGAGGGGAGAGGCTCTCGGGGTTTCCCCTCCTGCCCGGTGCCGGGGGGGAGGAGAGAGGGACCCATGAGCAGCCCTGGGGGTAAGGGGACACGTGGGGCCCAGAGCTCAAGCCCCGCTCTGCAAGAGAGTCTTTGGGGCTGAGCAGAGTCCGACCCACAGTCCTAGGAGAGGGGTTTTTGAGGGGAGCCCCGGGGGAACGCGCCGGTGCTTCGTGTCCGCAGTGAAACACGGGCTGGTGAGCCGCAGGTGCGGCGCCGACGGGCAGTGGGTGACGGTGAACGGCAGCCAGCCCTGGCGAGACTACTCGCAGTGCGAGGAGGAGATGGAGTCTGCCGCCGAGGAGGTGGGGTGCCCCGGCCTGGCCGCCGGGCAGGGACGAGCGGGGGCACCCCGGCCGCGCGGGTGGGTGCTGCTCCCCCCGGGCTCACCGGCGCCCTGCTCGGCTGCAGGAGGGTGCCCGCCGGCTGATGGTGAGCTTCAAGGTGCTCTACACCGTGGGCTACTCGCTCTCGCTCCTGACCCTCATCTCTGCCCTGCTCATCCTCACTGTCTTTAGGTAGGAGAGTCGGGGGGGGGGGGGGGACGCGGTTCTGCCCCTCGTCTTTCCCAGCTGGTGAGAGCCAAGCTGAGGGGTGCCCCCGCTCCCTGCCCAACCCCACACACACACACACACACCCTCACTCTTGGCAGGAAGCTCCGCTGCACCAGGAATTACATCCACGCCAACCTCTTTGCCTCCTTCGGGCTGCGGGCGACCTCGGTGATGGTGAAGGACGCGCTGCTGGAGAAGCGCTGGGGCATGGAGCTGGTGCAGGTGGCCGACTGGGAGGCTCTGCTGAGCCACGAGGCAAGCGCTGCCCCGGGGGGGGGGACCCTGCTCGGTGCTGGGCCGGGAGAGGGGTGGGAACCCTCTCCCCAGGGAGTGGGGTGGTGCAGCCAGACGCCAGTGCCCACGCAGCCCCAGGCACCTGGTGGGCAAGTTCTTGGGGTGCCCATGCACCTGCTAGGCAAGCTCTTGGGGTGCCTGTGCTGCCTGTGCACCCTCTGGATAAGTTCTTGGGGTGCCTGTGCAGCACCGTGCACCCTCTGGGTGAGCTTCTGGGGTGCCCGTGCACCTGCTAGGCAAGTTCTTGGGGTGCCTGTGCTGCCTGTGCACCCTCTGGACAAGTTCTTGGGGTGCCTGTGCAGCACCGTGCACCCTCTGGGTGAGTTTCTGGGGTGCCCGTGCACCTGCTAGGCAAGCACTTGGGGTGCCAGTGCTGCCCATGCACCCAGTGAGCAAGTTCTTGGGGTGCCCAAGCCCCAGTGGGTGGGTTCTTGGGGTGCCTGGGCAGCACCGTGCACCCAGTGGGCGAACTCTTGCGGTACTCGTACACTTGCCAGGCAAGCTCTTGGGGTGCCTGTGCACCCAGTGGGTGAGCTCTTGGGGTGCCTGTGCTTCCCATGCACCCAGTGAGCAATTTCTTGGGGTGCTCATGTACCCTGAGGGGAGCCCTTGGAGTGCACATCTTGCCCATTAACCTCATGGGCAAGGTCTTGGGGTGTCTACGTTGCCTGTGCACCCTCTGGGCAAGCTCTTGGGGTGTCCATGCTCTGGTAGGTGAGTTCTTGGGGTGCCTGTACACCCACTAGGCAAGCTCTTGGGGTGCCCGTGCTGCCCACGCACCCAGTGGGCAAGTTCTTGAGGTGCCCATGCACCCACTGGGTGGGCTTTTGGGGTGCCTGTGCAGCACCGTGCACCCAGTGGGCGAGCTCTTGCGGTACTCGTTCACTTGCCAAGCAAGCTCTTGGGGTGCCTGTGCACCCAGTGGGTGAGCTCTTGGGGTGCCTGTGCACCCAGTGGGTCAGCTCTTGGGGTGCCTGTGCACCCAGTGGGTCAGCTCTTGGGCTGCCCATACACCTGCCAGGCAAGCTCTTGGGGTGCCCGTGCACCCTGTGGGGAGGTCTCGGGGTGCTCATGCTGCCCATTAACCCGACGGGCAAGCTCTTGGGGTGCCTGTACACCTGCGAGGCAAGCCCTTGGGGTGCCTGTGCCCCCCAGCGGGTGAGCTCTGGGGGTGCCCGTGCCCCCGCGGGCGCGCTGCCGGCCCCACAGCGGGTCTCCTCTCGCAGGCGGCGCTGGGCTGCCGGGCGGCGCAGGTGCTGATGCAGTACTGCATCCTGGCCAACCACTACTGGTTCCTGGTGGAAGCCGTCTACCTCTACAAGCTGCTGATCGGGGCCGTCTTCTCCGAGAAGAATTACTACAGGCTCTACCTCTACCTGGGCTGGGGTAGGGGCCACCCAGGCGTGCGGTGGGGCCGGGGACAGCAGCCAGTGTCGGCCAGCGAGTCGAGCAAACCGGCCCCAGGAGGGTGTGGGGTGGGGGGTGTGGGGGGGCTGTGCTGAGCCTGGGTGTCCCCACGGTGTCCCCTGCCCCAGAGCCGGTTTCTCAGCTCAGGCGGGTGCTTGGTTTTACAGGGTTTGCTGTGTGACTTGCAGGGACCCCCGTGGTGTTTGTGGTGCCCTGGATGGCCGCCAAGTACCTGAAGGAGAACGCGGAGTGAGTGGGGACGGATGGAGGGGGGGGGGGGCAGGGGGTGTCCCACTGGGGTGCTCAGCCCCAGGCTGGGGTGTGGGCTCGGCTGGAGAGTGGGACAGAGACTGCCACGTGTCCCTGACCCACCGCGATGGGGCTGGCACGCTCTTGGCCTCATCCTGCACCCCCCTGATGCTGCTGCTCTCCCCGGGCAGGTGCTGGGCGCTGAATGAGAACATGGCTTACTGGTGGATCATCCGCATCCCCATCCTGCTCGCCTCCCTGGTAGGGGGGGCACTCACCAGCCCCACGCCTTTTCGGAGAACAGCAGCTCAGCCCCTGGCTCCCAGCCCTGGGGGGGGAAGTGGGGGGGGGGGCAACGACCCCCAGGGCAGCTCCCAGCAGCGCGGGGTTGGCTTCCAAGGCATCATGTTCAATGCACATGGGGTGTTTTTTGCACCAGCTTGCTAACCCCCACGTTCCAGGGGTCTGGGGGCAGGGCGGGGGCTGTGCTGAGCCCCAGGGAAGGGGGGTTCCAAGCTTCCTAGCCAGCATTTTGGGATGGCAGGAGGGGAGGAAGGGCAGCTCTGGGGACCCAGCACCGTCGCAGCAGCCTCAGCAGCACCAGTGTCGTCTCCTGTGGTCCCCAGGGGTGTGTATCAAGGCTGTGAGGGGTGGGGGGTGCTGGGCTACGTGCGCCCCTGCCCTGTCTCCCCTCTCCCAGATCAACCTGCTGATCTTCATGCGGATCCTCAAGGTGATCCTGGCCAAACTCCGGGCTAACCAGAAGGGCTACGCAGACTACAAGTTGCGGTGAGCCGGGGCGGAGAGGGGGGGCTGGTTGTGGGTCCTCCCTGGTCCTGAGGCTACACCACCTCCACATCCACCTCCCCAGCCACCTCCCCCCCCACCCCGCTCCTCAGTAAATGACCACCCTGAGATTAACTAAGAGCTCTTCCCTGCCCGCACCTATGCCCAAGCACCTTCAGTACTCGTCGCCGAAGCTGTCCCCTCATACTCTTTCAGGCTGGCCAAAGCCACGCTCACCCTCATCCCCCTCTTCGGGATCCACGAGGTCGTCTTCATCTTCGCCACCGACGAGCAAACCACGGGCATCCTGCGCTACGTCAAAGTGTTCTTCACCCTCTTCCTCAACTCCTTCCAGGTGAGCCGGGAGCGTGACATGTCCTTGCTCTGCCCTGGGCACATCGGGGAGCAAGAATTGGAGGGTCCCTTTTCCATCGCACTCTCCCCACGGTGCCTCAGCCTGTGAGGGGGGGTCGGGGAGGGGGGACACTGGCTTTCCCACCCCCAGCCCTGTTGTTGAGGGTGTGACGGTGCCTCCTGTGCTCTCTAAGGCTGTGGTGGCAGTGGGACCTCAGCCCCAGAAGCGCCCAGAAACGGCCTGGGGAGATTAAACCCATCCCAGCCCCGGGAGAAGGGGTGGTAGTGGGGGCTCACTCCCCTCCTCTCCCTCCAGGGCTTTTTGGTGGCCGTGTTGTACTGCTTCGCCAATAAGGAGGTACGTCCCCCCCCGCAGCTTCTCCCACCTCGGCCGGTGGCTTTGCCATCCCACCCCTTGCCTGCTCGGTCTGGGGGGAGGGCACAGCCAGGGCAAAGCCCCCACTCTCTCCCCTCTGTGGCAGGTGAAGTCAGAGATGAAGAAAAAGTGGCAGCTCTGGAAGCTCGACCACCCGGCGCTCTGCTGCGCCCAGTGATGCGGCGACCGGCCCCGCGGAGCCGGGGGCCAGGGGCTGCTGGCCACAGCGGGGGGGGGGGGGTGGGGCCCGTGGGGAAGCCGTGCTGCGGCAGCACCCACCCCAAACAGCCGGGCTGGGACCAGAGACCCAGCTCTGCCGCACCCGAGAGCGCTGGAGGTGCTGGAGGGGACGTTCCCCCCCCCAGCCATGGTCCGAGGGGGAGGCAGGCACCCTCGGCCCTTCCCAGACATCGCTGCCCGGGGAGGTGCGCCTGCCGCTTTCTGCCGCTGCCTGAACACCAGCAGCCACCTCTGTTGGCACCCACCAGGCAGGGCGTGCTCGGGGGAAGCCCCGTCCCCAGCCGCGCCAGCCCGGCCCCCCGTAAAAGGGGATGCGGGCGGCTGGAGAGGGAGCCTGGCCAGCAGCGGGGAACGGGAGACCCCAGATGAACAAAGAGCTCCCGCTGCACCCCGGGCCACGCCGGCACTGCTCTGCCCAGGGTGTCACCTCCCTACTCTCCTCGCCCCAAGCAAGAACCATCTCACCAGCACCCCGAGAGCTCCCCGACAGCCGGCCCAGAGCCAGCCCGCAAAGCTCCTCCTCGTAGCGAGGGGCTGCTTCCGCGCCTTCTCACCAGCCTCACGGCTGACGTGGAACGTGGCACCAGGCACACAAACCGCCGGGTTCCTGAGCTCCTCCTGCAGCAGAGCCCCCCCCCCCGAGCCCCCGAGCCCCCCCTTTGCAGCCAGCAGAGCCAAGGCACCCGCCACGCATGTAGTTTCCCGCGGCTCTTGAGCGCTTTGACCGTTGTGTTTACCCTCCACGTTAAGGGCAGCCCTGCTTCTCCTTTTGGGGGGAATCACAAGGGTGAGCAAAGGGCTCGAGTACCTCAGCTCGCTGGGAGCTGAGCCCGAGCTCCCACATCCCTGGCCCAGCACCCAGCCCAGCCGCCTCTCCCTTCACAGCGGGGAGAGCTGCTAAGCCCCGGGCAGGACCCACGCTCAGCTCAGGAGCTGTTTTGCCGGCAAAAAGCTGAGCGTTTCTGGGCCCAGCTGTGCCACAGCTGGCGCTCAAGACGTTTGCTTGGCAGGAGGGTGCCAAGGCAGGGGCTGCCTACCCCCGTCAAGCCCTGGGAAGCCCGGGAGCACCCACACCCCTGCCTTTGCGAGCGAAGCAGCTGAGGCTGTGCGGCTGGAGCAGCGCTGTTCACACGCAGCTGCACACATCTGGCTCACGGCTCCCTCCCCGGGACGGGCCCTCGCTCTTACCCCCAGTAGCAGGACAGACCGTGCTGCTTCGCCTTGCAGAAAAAGGCCACCCCAGCGGGGGAGGAAGCAGCTCTCTCTCCCCCTCCAGCCCCCTTCGCTTCCAGGCTCGGGGGGATCCTCCTGCGGCCGCAGCATCTCAAGGAGGGCTGCCTTGAGCACGGGAAGGAAAGAGGCCACGCCAGGCTCAGCTGGGTTCAAGGCTGGAGGGTCACGCAGGAGTTTTCCCGGATCGACGTAACCCCTGCGAGACCATTTTGCGCATCAACTCCCTTTTCAGATGTAAATAAACATTTATTTTTCAGCACGCGGAGCATGCTGCTTCTGTCTGCTCTGAGGGAGGGAAACAGCTCCCAGGTTGCCTATATGGTTTGCACCCGAGCACACACCAGCCCACTTAGAGGTGCGTTAAACTGTTACCCAGAGCCCCTGGCTCAACCTAGCACTGTGTTCCCCTCCCTAGGATTACAGAGAAGCAAGCAGCAAAATAAAACACTGAACATGATGGTGATAAATACAAACAGCAACATGTCTAGCCCTGGTCTGTGCGCTTGAGGCACTGCTGCAGGAGCTGTTGCCAAAGTTCTGAGTTGGGAGGAGAAAGCTGGCCCTCTTCTTGAGATTGAAGAGCTCTAGTTTTGACCAGAAAGAGGTTTTTATGTTGTCCCATTTAAAACTTTTTGTAGCTGCTGCTGGGCGGTATCCTCTTGATCACCTGTCTCTAGGGACAGATCAAAGGTGGGCTGAAGGTCTGGAAGAAGAGTCACACCAACAGCTCACTCCAGCCTCGCAGCAGAGCTGGGCACGAGATCAGTGCTTCATCCTGAGCACAAAATCCCAGCACCTAACTCAACAAGGCTTAAACTCATTGCTAAATGAGTACAGAGACAACCGCCTTTGTCACGCGGCTGGGACCTTCGGGGGCAAGAGTGGCACAGCCCAGCTGGGAAGGGAAGGGAAGAGCTGAGCCCTCGGAGGAGCACACACGTTGGTACCTACTCCTGCTCTTCCTCTGCAGCCCCCGCTCTGCCTGACCACGGGAATTCCCGCATCACCCCAGCCAGTGCTGCCGGGGTGTCACCTCCGGCCAGAGCCCCAGACCCCTCTGCACATGGCCATGGGGGGGGGAGGGAGGAAGCTGAAAAGCATTGTACGCCTTCCCCCTTGTCCTGAAATAAACCACAGAGGTTATTCATGAATCTAGAACCCCAGTTCCCTCCAAGAGAAACCCAAACACCAGAAACAGGTTTTCCGTTTTTATTATTTTATCCAAGTCAGCAGATACTATTTTATTGGAAGATCTTGCCTTAGGGTAGCACCAGACTCCCTGCAGCCTGCACAGCCACCCTTTCAGCGATGAATGCTGTTTAAACTCCTTCCTTTAAGGAACTGCCTCCTTGGGGAAACTAGTCTATAAAATCCCCTCCCTGGTGTCCCCCCTGGGCTACTCTAGCACTCCTTTAAGCCTTTACATCTGGGCTCCTGCAGCACCTCTTCTGTGGGGCACTTCCTTCCTTCATACGTACACTGCTGTACACCTACCCCTTTTTCCAGGGCCCCAAGCATTACAATCCAGTGATGTATCAACCTTACCCACCCAAAAAACCCCTTTCTTCCACCCCAGGACCTAGCAAAGCCAGCACCAGGTCTGTGTAGTCTCTTCTTCCAGCCACCCACCTTCCTGCACTGCTTACCCAGCCCCAAATGCAGTGCTGAGCCAGGGCTCCACTTGCTCTCCAGATGCTTCCAGGCCCTTTCACTTAGGTTTTGGGGTTTTTTTTTTTGCTTCTATGAAAACTTTTCCTCTTTCCCCACAGACATCTTGCTTTAAATTCAAGTCTGGGCTCCCAAGGTATACACTGACAACCCTGAATGACTGTAGAAAAGAGACATGACCAAGGCTAGGGAAAGGGCAGTGCAAACTGCCTCGGCACTCCCCACCCTTCCTCCAGCAGCAGGGAATGAAGGACAAAGCCCCAGATACTCTTCCCAGCACAGCCTCAACACTTGGAGAAACTTTCAGGGATGCTGCCATAGGAGACCTGGCTCCACCTCACCAAAACTAAATCTTCAGGGTGAAAGGGCCTGTGCTGTGCAGCTAACACCAGGTGCATACACGCATGTCATTTGCTAAAGATGAAAAAATAGTGTGTGTGCTAGGAGTTAAACACGAGTAGCAAGCAGCCCCCCCCAGCTGAGCATGCTGCCAAGCACAGAGGCTGCCAGCAGGGCAGGTTCATGTCTGTGGGCCATACCTGCCTCGGTGCCCCAAGAAAGCAGAGAGACACCAGCTCAGTGGGGCCATCAAACCAGATGTCACCTTTTCCAAATAAATGCAGACTGGCTCTCAAGCCTGCCTAAATAGTCTCAAGCCGCCGATGAGAAGGGGTGACAAGCTCCAAGGATGGAGCCAGACTGGATTTTTGTGTTTCAGCATCTGTGATCAAGGTCCAAAAATCAGAAGGAACACAGAGTTTCTTCCTCTTCCCCAAAATACTTTCCCAGACTTGTGAAGGCTATCGCACTCAGACTTCAGGTTTTGTTGTTTGCTGGGTTTTTTTTTTCACCCCACGGGACTTGGCAATACGCAGGAATAGTCTCACTGGAAACTATTTTACATCAACAGAACCACCACAAGCCCTTGTGGCTGCTCACCCAGCTCCAAGAGACAGAGCAGTCTCTCTCTCTGGGGAGGCAGCATCTTCCTGCACTATTTGCCTGCCCTTTGAAAGTGCCCACACCACCGACACAAGAATGCCCTGGCAGAACTATTTCCAAATGCTAAGGCTTGGAAATCAAAGGCAGGCAGTGGTTGAGGACCAAAGCTTTGCAGCACAGCTGCATCTGGGATGTGATTTCTTTTGCCCATCTCCCACGTGGGACAGATCTCTCCCTCCGTTCTTGCCCTGCCTGTCTTGGCATGCTGCTGCTTGCCCGAGGCACAGGAGACTGAACAGTTTCAAGCTTTTTGTTTTCTCTCATGTCCTTCCAGAGGAGCATCTGCCTTGCAACCGCTGTCAGTGTTGGGGTCTTGGCACTGACAAATCAGACCAAGAGTCTCTGCCATAAAGTATTTACCACAAAACCGAGTTCTTTGGGACTGAATAACATGATTGCAAACAACCTCTGAAGGGGACAAGAATCTGAACTGAAGCAGGGTGGGCTGGTTGGAGAAAAAGGTTTTGAAGCACAGATTTGGGATGGCAGGAAGGCAAACGGTCCTGCCAGAGATGAGGACTGTGTGAGTTCTGCTGCAGCTCAATAAGCCAGACATTACAAACTCTACTCACTTTACCCATCCACAATAAACCTGCCTTCCTTATTGCCCCAGATAAATTTTTTTGGGTCAACTCCTAAGCAATCCTCATGGCATAGAAGGGGCTGGGGCAAGGCCTTGGGAAGGATAGGATACAGAAAAGGATAATTGATCGCTGTGGATAACAGCTTTCTAACACCACACAGCCCTGAATGACAAGGGCTGCAGGAAGCTTAAGGCAAATAAAACTTCTAGGCTTGGTGCTTCTCCTCTTAACCTTTCGGCATGAACAATGATCCTGGGAACTCAGACAACAGTCAGGTCCAAATTGCTGCTGGGTCGCTGTCTTCTGCTGTCCCTCGTTCTCCCAGGCACGTTATCTGATGGCTGAGACCTTCTTCCACGCATCCGCCGGCCGCTGTGGCACTCTCAGCAGCGCTGCGGTACCGCCAGCACGGCCCTCGCGCTCATTCTCCCAGGCACACTCAGCTTCCGGGTGGAACAGTCACCCGACGTCAGTATTCCTGCAGCCACCAAGGAAGAGAGGACAGACACCCTTTCAGCGGGACAGAGAGACACGGGGACTAAGGATTTTCCAGAGGGAAAACCAACCAGAGGGCACGTAAGTACTGGTTAGAGTAGAGCCTCAGCGTGCGGGCAATGAGTGAGCACTGGGCATGTTACCTGCTGCCAGGAATGGTGCCCCCCTCGATGCCACAGCCCTCTGTGGCTGTCGTCACTTCCCACTCACCCTCCTGCTTTGTTATGGTTCTAGCCAGCTCTGCCCGCTCTGGCCCGGGGCTTGGAGCCTTTGGAGGTTTTGAGTCACAGTCTGCAGAGCTTTTCCTGAGAACAAACCAAAAAAAAAAAAAAAAAAAAAAATATCGGTGTTAGCAATAGGCCAGCAAGCAGTAAAGACCAGTCTGCATTCAGCCACTGTTATCCTGCCTTCTCCCCTGCAGCTTCCAGTGCCCCGAGAACACAAGAGTCTCTACTCTCTGACTGCCTGTTGCTGGGACAAGATCCCATCATCAGGAGGACACAGGCTTTGGGAACCACTTCAGAAGCAGCTCTGGCCACAAAGCAGGAGAGATGCAGGGGGCTACATACTCCCTTCTCTCAGCTTGGGCCTGTCAGCAGAGGATGAGGCAGAGCCCAAGACCTGCAGTGAGAATAAGTGCAAGAAAATGCCAGCACCAACTTCAGAGCCTGGAGACTTCCCGGAGAGGGGATTGTTAGGTCCCTCCAAACTACCACCACCAAATCATCAAAAACCTGCCCAAAACATCTCACCTCTAGCACCACAGTTAATTCACGTGCCCAGAGTCCTTCCCCACCTTACCCATTTCTCCCACACACTCCTCTAGGACAGCTGACAGCTCAGGCAAGCTCAGAGACTTCAAGGAAGGTGGCCATCCTTCCAGCACTGCAAGAAAGAGGAGCCACACTTTTAATCAAGCTGCGTGGTCTCTGTGACAGAGGAGACAGAAGGGTTTGGTGCTGCTGTGAAGCATCCACACCCAAAGCGGCTCTGGCTAGGGGGTCTGAGTTACACAGGAGGAGAGCTGGAACTGCCCGTGACAAACTGAGGGTTTTTTCTGGCAGTTCTACCACCTAAGAATATTTTTTTTTTTACACTGGCTGGTTCATATACTAAAAGAATCTCAAAGAGATTAAATGTAGCGGACAGAAATCAACACGATCTCTACTTGTCTCACTTTTAAAACACAAGCAGCAAAGAGCACAGCTCTGGAAGCATGTCACTGGCAGCAGGATCGCTTGCTAACTCCTCATGAGAAGGGGCTGGTGGGCCAAACATGCCCAGCCATGAACAGCAGCTCGCCCCAGGGCCTGAACAGCACCATCCCCCAGCCTGGGTCAGGGAACCAGCCACGGCTTCCGATTCAGACCTTGCTCTGGTGCGCAGTGCCGTAACTCACCCGAGGCGCCCGCACGCTGCAGCGTAGGAAGGGGAAGGCACAGCACACCTGTCTTACAGCTTTGCATTTTTAGCTGCAAACACCTGCCAGACCCCAAAACTTCCCACTTGCTAAGAATCAAAGGCTGCTGAGAAACCCTGTTGCAGTTAACGTCCAAACATGCCAAGAGCTTTAAATGCTTTCCCCAAGCAAGAATTTTTACATTAAATGTAAGGCTTTGGCTGCTCATCTGTTTTCCAAATCGCTTCTAACTTCATCCTTTCAGCAAGGAAAGGCAAGCATGTGGCTTGCTCTGTGGTCTCCTGCTGTTTACCCACTCCTTGCACCCATTCCCATAGTTTGATAAGGTCTTCCTCACCCGGGCGCTCACCAGGCCGCCTGCTCTCACCGGTTCCCAGCTGCACCTTTGTGTCCAGCACTCTGCCGACTGCCTGCTCTTGGGTTAGCCGGGAGGACAGCTCTGCTTGACAGGATCTGCCAAACAAGACAACGCCCATCAGAAGCACACAGGGACACTTCTTGGAACAACATGCCAGTCTGCACTCCTACATCCTGCAAGTACCTGCTTGGGGTGCCGAGGGACCGCATCTAACGCCCTGGGTTACAAACTGCTCCTTGTTCCTTCCCAGGAAGAGGAAGACGTGCCCCAGACAAAGCTCAGGGCGCTCTCCACTGTGCCCCATCTCCACAGCAATCTGCCCCTGTCCACAGAGGAGCTGCGGGGGGAGAAGAGAAGGAGGGGGCGGGGTGAGCAGGAGAAAGCCCAAGCCAGGGGCTGCACCTGGTTTATATGAGAATCAAGCCTGATCTAAGGTTTCTAATGGGGAAATGAAGCTACCTCAGGACAGGCATCAGGTTAAAGCAAGAGAGGCACACAAAGTTCTCTGGCCATCATCATCATACCCATCAATTCAAACAGTGTATCCTCAGAGCATGGCAGGGGCCTTTCTACCAGACAGCCTCAGCTCCTCAGTCAGGCAGAAGAGACAAGTGCTCTGCCCCTTGCAGCTGGGAATATTGCTCTGCTCGCCTTCTGGAAGCCAAGCCCAGTTCATCTGGCTTGGTAGTGAGCAGGCTCCATTCCCTCTTGGGCTAGGATCTATAAGCAGTAGGATTAATGCCACCTTCAAGGATGCATCTGTTCTAGCAGTGGACAGAACAGGGTCTATGACAGGAGTCCAACTAGGGCGGGGAGAAAAAGCACCCCAAAGGCACCAACAGGTATATTAGGAGGTGGGGGAAGACAGAACTCAAAGGCGCTGGTGTGAATGAACAGGGCAGGTTTTTCTGCCAGGCGTCATAGTTGCAAGAAAAGTCTTCTTCACTAGCCAGGGCAAGACACTGCGAGTCCTTTGATATGGTTTGGAAGTTAGAAACTCTTTCCTGCATTCACTGATCACCAGGTTATACCCTGGGCACTGGGTCTCATGTAAGCACAGAGCACTTAAGCTTTTGGTTCCTTCTAGTTGAAACAGGAGAACCCAGCATCTCTGAAAACTCAGGCCATTTATAGCTCATGCATCTGATTAAGGCTTCGCATCTGCTCACACGGCTGTGGCTTTCACAGAGAAAGTCAGGTAGGATCTAAAAATGGGTGAACTCTCCTGCCTTTCCCTGCACATCGCCTGTAAGACTGACAATATGGCCTTTGATCTCTGTACGTCCCAAATCCCGTTTCCCAGTAGCCTCAGTGCCATTTCCGGCAAATGACTTACTTGATCTGACCCAGCAGGACTCCAGCATCCTTGGTGATGGCCTGAACCTCTCTGAGCTGGCACTGGATAGCATTCCAGGTCTCATCCCGCTCCATCAAACAGCTCTCAGCCACTGCACGCAGCTTCTGCTCCTGGCACACCTGGCCCTTCATCACCTCCACCTCTTCGCACCTCTACAGCAGAGCAGAGCTGAGGATTAGGCTGGGAGAACTGTACATCTCTCTCATATGTGCCTGCTCTGATACATCCCTGAAGTCCCTGCTATTTTAATGGCTTAGGCAGCCAGAGGGTTCCTGCAAAAGTGCGCCCAACCAGTGGGAAAGGAAGCTGGATAAAGCTTGTACACTGAATACAGTTTCTCTCCATACCAAGACCAGCCCTACAGTTACAATTCCCCCTTCCTCTCCATTTGCAAAGATACGCAGTCTGCCCAGTTTCCCAAATCAACCTAAGTCATTTCATTAATGGCTGCCCAACTTCCCCATAAAAGTGACACTACTGAAAAAGAGAGCAAGTATTCAATTCTTCCCACTCGCTCTTTTAGTTCCCAGGTGGATGGGAAACAGAGACACAAAGGCTTCACACGCAAGGAGCACTGAGGATGAGGAGTAGATAAGCTGCACTTACAGTGCTACCTCATCTGCTTGACACCAAGTGTGTCCATTGAAAGTTACGTCTTTTCCTTTACCCCTGGCCACTAGAGGCACAACATAAAAATATACCACCGATCACTTCCTGCAGTGTGAGAAGGCATTGAGCAGCTCATGGCAGACTTCTTACCTTGTGCAGCTGAATGGCCAGTTCCTGCATCTCAGCCTCCAGTCGATCCGCATAGGCCAGCTCCAGGGCATCACTGGGCGGCCGCGCGTTGCTGTGCCATCGGGCAATGGCAGAAGTCATCTTCCTCTTGGGTCCAAACAGACTGGTGGGAGAATGACAAACCGTCAGGGCCCAAATGCTGCACCACCCGTCCCTAGGCCCAATGGGATGCCATAAGGACATCTGCAGTCTCCTGGTTCCTCCAAGGCACCTCCCAAACAGGAGCCTGTTACAGCTGAGAACTAGGGGATATCAAAACTGTGGGAGACTACCAAAACAGAAAAGCACTCACGAGCTAAACTTCCCTGACCAGGCTGCATGCACGGTTTGTAAGGGGAAAGATGAGAAGTACATTACAGACACTCACGTGATGCCTATTTCCTTCAGATCACTCTCTGTGAGGGTCAGGAAGATCCTGAGATCAACATCTTGCTCCTCAAACACTTGCAGATACTTCAGGCATCCAATCTGCTCCAGGAATGTTGCCAGGTCCTGCAGCCCATCCAAAACAAACTTATTTATACCCTCACAAACAAAAGCATTACCATTCCTCTTAATCATAAACATCTGCTTCCTCGTGTTGCTGTTATGCCTTGCTGGGTTCTAGCAGCAACCACAACTTCCCCCGGTAAACTGCCCTTCTCTATAGTCACACAACAGGACTGGCCTGTCTGCTGCAGCCATTGCATCTTACAACAAATACAGAGAAGAAAGACACATCAACATCTACCCCAGCCCCCACCACAGACATGTTTGGTAGCACACTTGCAGGCCTGAAGGTTTAGAATACCCCTCCGAGCAACAGCAACACCTAAAGCAGACACTTCTTTGTACAAAAAATTGCTGTTTCACAAGCATTTAAGCTTGGGCAGAGTTTTGGAATCAAAGGTGTTTTGGCAAGAATAACTTCACTTTTATCTGAGAAGACCAAGAAAGCAGCTTAGGCAACCTTGGAAAAGCCTCCTAAGCTTGATACAGTGACACAGTCTGCACTGTTTCAGAGACAACTTTCTGTGCGTAGTTACCTGGGGCCCTGTATAGGCAGGGGATTCAGGAAGGATTAGGTGCTGACCAGAGCCCCCGGCTTTCCCGGGGCAGTGGGTCCACTGGCTATCACTATTGCTGTAGCGGTTCTTGATCTTAAAGCTCTTGGCTTGTTTCCGACTAGGGGGACTGTTTGCGTGGTCAGAATCCTGAAAAAGAAAAAAAAAAAAAAAAAAAAACACACAAAATCTAAATGTCAAGGATGATTGCGCAAAGATGTCAGAATTACTACAGCTAACAGGTGCAGACTCCTTCAGGTCCCAAGCTTTAAATCCAGGCAGTGGTCTGCAAACACAGGCAAAGACTAACAGAGCCCTTCCTAGGAAGGGCTGAGTCAAGTCACTCCCCAAGATGGCAACTTGGTGCCTTGGAATGACACCAGGCTCTCGCAGTCCTAGCTTAGGAAGGAACACGCCAGAGCAAGGCAGAGCAGAGCAGTGCTGAATGCACCCTGAACCAATACAGCGCACCGACATGCTACCTGTGAGAAGCTCAAGATACAGAGGACTTTTGCTCATGTTCAGCTCTATCACCCTTCTGTACCTCAGCCCCAGAGTGATGTCCCAACTCACGGAGGAACCTCCAGCCTCTTCCCCTTTCTGTACTTCAGAAAGGCCAATACAGCACTGCTGTGCCGGTTTAAATATTACTACACTGCCCGCTATCTCACCGAGCTCAAGGGCTGACCCAGCTCTAGCAAGTCATATCCTTTCTTGACCACCACCTAGCTAGAAGTCTGCAAACAGTTCAGAAGCTGAAGAGAACTTAAAAATTACTGACTAGCCAACCACAACCTACTCTAGCAGCATGAATGTGCTCTGAGAGTTGGCTACTAGATGGAGATCAAAGAAGCCAATCCATAATCTTCAAATACAGAAATTGATTTTCTTATCCCTGTAATACTACCTGTCCTCACCCAGCCTAGAACTAGAGCCTCCTGTGGAGGTAGAGTCATGGCAGGCTGCAGAAGGGTGACAGCACAGCCCAAACTGAAGGCACAGAAAGGCAAATTGAAAACCCCACCTCATTGCTTTCCAAGGAGCCTTCACTGCTGACTCCCAGGGCTTTGGCCAGGCATTCACTGCTGCTGCTGCTGCTCCTGATGGCTGCTAAGTTCCTGGTGAAGAAAACGTTATCCTCTGGAAAGAAATATCAAAAAAAAGTTTGAGGTTTTTGTGTTGTTTTTGTTGCACACTTACCAGCAAAACCGGCTGGAGGTGTAAATGAAGGAGAAACTCAGAGCAAGGCTTCGTATGCAGCACTCACGACACAAGACAGTTCTGAGACAGAAATATTACTGCCAAGCCTGCACCTCCATTAGGAAAGTTTAGGAAAGGCCTTTCCTTGAGCCCAGAGCCAATGTAGAGCCATATTATCCTTGATTTAGGAGATGCCCATAGATTCTTCCTTCGTGTTGCTTCACAGAATCAGAGTGGTGAGTTTCAAAGGCACCTCTGGAGGTCATCTTGTCCAAACCCTTGCTCAAGCAGGGTCACCTACAGCAGGTTGCCCATGACCATCTCCAAGGATGGAGACTCTATAACCTCTCTGACACCCTGCTCCAGTGTGCAGCCAACCTCACAGTGTATTAAAAAAAAAAAAAAAAAAAAAAAAAAAAAAAAAAATCAACAAAAAACCCAAACACCCACCAAGAAAAACAAAAACAAATAAAAAACCAAAACCAAACATATTTCCTTATGTTCAGAGGAAGCCTCCTGCCTTTCAGTTTGTGCCCATTGCCTCTTGTCCTGTCACTGGACACCACTGAAAACAGCTTTGCTCCATCATCTTTACACCCTCCCATCAGATCATTTGTACAAACTGATGAGATCCTCACTGAGCTTCCTCTGCTGTAGGCTAAACCATCCCAGCTCTCTCAGCCTTTCCTCGTGAGAGATACTGAAAACTTCAACATCTTAGTGGGAAAGGAACATGCAAGCCAAGGGGTTGGTCTCACATCCAGGTGTGTACTGCAAGCCAGACTATTTTGAGACAGAGACTTACCCCTGCTGCTGCTGCTCTCCACATCCTGCTCATTAATTGGAGAAGTAACATCCCGGTTCCGGATATCCTCTGCTTCACAGCTGCCATCATCATTGAAGGTAACGTAGCCCTGAGGAGGGACCTGCTCTGTGTGCAAGAGGAAGGGAGAACAAAGATTAGGATGTAATTTACCAGGGGGGCTCCAAAAGGAAAAGCAACCACTGAGGGATTTGAAAATAATCAAAAGAAGAGACTGTCTTCTCAACTACCAGGCTGCATTCTAGAAAGCACAGCGAAAAACTGAGAAGTGGATATGCCTACAGCCTCACACAAACACACATCAGCTGTACTTGATTTAGCTGGCTGCATCGCAAAAAAGTCAGAGGAAACAGCCTCGTAGCAGAGATATACCGTAAAGAACAGCTTTCAGCATTTCCTCCTTGCTTCATACCCAAATTATCAAAGGTGAAGAACATCTGCTTGAGAGCAAGGTGCCAGCTACGTCCCATCCCCAGCCAAACCAACCCCCCTGCATCTGCATTAAAACACTACTGGCATCCCACTGTCATTTAAGAAGTTGACAGTATCATTTCAATACAGCCACTGACCATGGGATAATATGTATCTGTATTAAGAGCACGAACAGAACTTTGAACATGTTTTTAAGTCCATATACTTGGTTACTCGGGACAACTAGGTAATCTGCCTGAGAGACACCCATGGCTATGAGACACACACAACAAAACACCACCCATTCCACTGCATCCAGGGTCGATGTCTGAACTGGGACCATCTTTCTCTTGACATATTGCAAAAGTTTTGTAATTTTATTTTCAGTAGTATTCCAAGCATCAGGGAAGACAAAACTGACAGGTCTAGGAACAGTGAGTTCACATTCATCATCATGAGTCAGCACCATGCGCTCGCAGCCCAGAACCCACCCGTGCCCTGGGCTGCAGCCAGAGCAGGGGGGGCAGCAGGGCCAGGGAGGGGATTCTCCCCCTCTGCTCCGCTCTGGGGAGACCCCCCTGCAGTGCTGGGGCCAGCTCGGGGGCCCCCAACAGCAGAAGGACACGGAGCTGCTCGAGCGGGGCCAGAGGAGGCCACGGAGATGCTGGGGGGGCTGGAGCAGCTCCCCTGGGAGGCCGGGCTGAGAGAGTTGGGGGGGTTCAGCCTGGAGAAGAGAAGGCTCCGGGGAGCCCTTCGAGCGGCCTCCCAGGGCTTAAAGGGGGGACAGGAGAGGTGGGGAGGGACTCTGGATCAGGGGGTGGGGGTAGGACAAGGGCTGACGGTTTTAAACTGACAGAGGGGAGATTTAGATGAGATAGAAGGAAGAAATCCTTCCCTGTGCTGGGGGTGAGGCGCTGGCCCAGGGTGCCCAGAGCAGCTGTGGCTGCCCCCTCCCTGGAAGGGTTCAAGGCCAGGTTGGACGGGGCTGGGAGCCCCCTGGGCTGGGGGAAGGGGGCCCTGCCCGGGGTAGGGGAGTGGGACTGGGTGGGCTTTAAGGTCCCTTCCAACCCAAACCGTTCTATGATCAATGATTTCTTGGCCTGTTGGACCAATTCCTGTGTCATCAGTTTGAGAAGGGTTTTCAAACATTTGAGCCTACCTCAAAAAGAGAAGCTGGACTGTTCTCAAGAGTCAGAGAAACAGTAACTGAGGTAAGAGGAGTGTTTGTTCCATAGAAGTGTTCCACTCACCAATATACAACCCTGACAAAAAGAGTCCAAGGGGTTTTCTTTTTAAACCAGAGATGTATGATGGTGTTCGCTGTCTTTGTTTCTGTATAAACCCCACATGAATCCCAAATGAAGAGAAAAAATTGTTGGCACAGAAATAGCTGCAATGTATTTGAGACCTCAAAGGGCTTGTAACTAGGCTTCTAACTATTCTCACCATAGCGAGACTGCTTCTTTCCCCCAATTCCAACTGCTGTTATCTTAGCCAAAGCTTGGGGCCCATCATGGATGCTGGGACCCTTGGTCCTACGAAGAGGTCTCTGTCTCTGGGGAGCAGAACACGATTCATCTGAGGAACTCAGCTCTTCATATTTTCCTGTAGTTGAGACACAGACTATGTTAGCAGCATAGTAATTAATTTACCTACTTCATTTGCTACTGGTCTTATAAATGCAGTGGAAAGAAAAAAGGAAATGTTACAGAGAGGGTTAAACAGTTTAACTAGGTCAGAAAAGGGCCAACAGATCAAAAAAGAAGTGTCAGATCCATGCCTCTTCCATTCTCAGAAATGGTGCAATTTACAGAACAGACCAGCTGGTACCACCCCATACACACAGTAACATACTTTCAAAGTACCAAATGCCTCTCTCCAGGTTCTATCTTAAAATGAACAAGCTAAAACATCTCTCTGTTACCTGGACCCCTGCAGAAGACCTTGGGCACTGGGGCTGCGTGCAAATCTATCAGCCCTACAATCTTTGTATGTCCATACTTCATGGCCAGTGTCCGTGCTGTGGCTCCAGTGTTATCTCTGACATCTGCCTTCACTCCCTATAGAAAAAAATACATGTTTAAAATGTAGGTAGCGGAGGACACTATATACAAAAATTCAAAGAAGCCAAAGAATTGTCTTAGTTCCTCCATCAGAAATACAGGCTCACCTTTGATAGGCATCTCAAGCTCTGCTAATACCTTGTTTCTAGTTATCCAGTCTTCCCAGTCCCTGAATGCCAAGTAGCCCAGGTATATGGCTCTTGTGCATTGTCACAGGGAACTACTTTTTATCTGAAAAATGTTTTGCATTGCTGCCTCCTTCTGGAAATAACCCAGACCAGTTAAACAAGATATTAAAAAAAAATTGTTTAAGACATGCATGCTCATAAGTTTTTGAAGGCAGAAGATGCCCACTAACCCGAGCATGCAAGTCTGTAAACAAAATATAAAGATTAATTCTTTAGCTGTTTTTTAATTCAGTCATTATTCAGTTAAATATGGACAGTTAGACCTCACTCCTATTTGTGCAAGGCCAGTGTAGAATCAGAGTACTAGCCTTCAGAAAGCAGATACTTTGAGAACAGTCCTTAAGTCTGGGACTTCACAGGTGACTGCCATCAAGGATCAAACATAACTGTAAAATTCTAGTGTCAGACTTGTGCTTCTTCCTCTGAGGGCTGGAGCCACAGATTTTCAGCTTTACAGAGAACTGCCTAGACACTTACATGATTGAGAAGGTACTGAACAATTATCTCATGGCCAGAAGCAGCTGCTTCCATCAGAGGCGTATATCCATACACTGGCTCCCTAGAGAGAGAACAAACACACACACATGGACTAGGATAATCGAACCTGAAAAACACCGCAGTCTTTGCCATACCCTACTAGGGCATCTCCAGCCTCTACCCTCAGCTGATCACAAGCTCTGCGATGCATTGGTTGTTCTACTACACTCTGGTCTAACTCAGTAAAACTCCCAGTGGAGATTCAGTAACCATTACTCTATCAGCTGCACAGCAACAGATCACCCTTCCGGTTGCAGATCTGCCTTTCAGTGCCAAAATCAGTCTTGCAGGAGCTAACAGCGCAAGAACCTTTTGTTAACCTCAGGCAATTTGATATGCATAAATGTACAGGCAGTTCCCAAGGCACAGGAATGCACTTCAAAAACCCCAAACAAACTGAACTCCCAGCACACAGAAAAATCAATAGAAAGACTTGTGAAGTGCACTTGAGTTCAGAAGGCATCGCATCTGTTTGCTTTCAGTTTAGCCCATAATTAAACAAGCAGTAAATCTAATTTAAATAAACAGTGATAACATGGGCAGACTTCACTGTTCAGTCTCCAGGTCATCTGTCCTTGCATTAGCTAACAGTGTACTGTATTTCCTAAGGTACAGGAGGAAAGAAAAGCAGGCATCTTCTCCCTGCCCATGTTTGAGTGTGTTCATAGACCGACTGCTGCTTTCACATCTGAAACGAGATATCTTTTGAGAAATGAAGTGACAGATTCCTCCTTACTTGCAGTTGGCGTTTGCCCCATTGTCCAGTAAGAACTTGACCATCTGCTGATGTCCGGCGCTGGTACAGTGAAATAAGGCAGTCCAACCATGAATATCCTTCATCTCCAGCTCTGCGCCTTGCTTCAAGAGAACAGAGAATGTTCTTTACTGCATCCCCTCTGCTGGGCCTCTTAGCCACTGCCCCTCCGTGCTGTGATACCAAGAGAGTTTAAATCCCTGTCAGGAAGCTGAACTTGCAACAGAACACAAATCTCACACTTTGGTGGCAATTGATGGAGAATCCTATCCTCCACATTTAAACCATGTACTGTGGCTTTACCTATTTATTATGGGATACACACCTGTAGAAGAAAGTAAGCAACACTTTCGTTTCCACAGCTGGAGGCCAGCATGAGAGGTGTCTGCCCTTCTGGTGTTGGGATGTTCACATTCACTCCTGCTTCCAGCAGCAGGTGCACAACAGTGTCGTGGCCAATGTAGGAGGCATACATCAGTGGAGTCCAACCACCACAGTTCCTCTTATTTAAATCCAGATCGCCACTAAATAACAGAGAAAAGAATTCAGCTAAACTGTCCTGGAGCTGTAGATCACAGTAGGCTCCTGAAGCCTCTTGCTACTATCACTGCATTGAAAGAAGGCTGAAAAAAATTCTAGCACTGAAGCCTACATGGGAATTCCTACCAGCTCTAACACAACTTCCACCAAATCACCAAGGAGATAATTTTTATCAGAAGATTTGCCCCTTGAAACTTTGTGCCTAAGAAGCCTTTGGGAGTTCCAGCGATGCGCTGCTGTTGCAATGTTAGACTGACCTGTTACGGCTGCCAGTGAAAAACCGTAACTGGCAGCAAGTAACCTGTGCCCTCCCCAGCCCCTCCTTACCGCTGAATACACTCCTGCACCACTTCATACTGGCCAACAGAGGAGGCCGTATGCAAGTCCAGGGGAACATCCAGCTCTTCCCGACAGATCATCTGACCGACCCCATGCCACATGGACAGACTGCGGCTCAGCAGCTCCGACTCACTGGCTTCATCACTCAGCTCCGACATCCTGCCCTGAGTAACCAAAGCAAACCAGAACTTTCAGTGGCTGATCTCCATTTTCTATAGAACACAGCATCACCTCATGGCACTACAGCTCCAAGGTGCCACAGGCTTGGAAGGTGAGGTCATCTCAGAGGTATAGTGTTTCGAATTCCTACCTCTACTTTGATTGCCTCCTTAGCCTGAAGCAGTAAGACTTGCCGAGTTTTTGCTGACAGTTCTTTCTTGCTGCAGTGGACTCTGGGATTTGAATACACTGGAAAAATAAAAGCAAATAATGCTAAAAAACCATCTTTCAAATCTCATTTTAAGACTTCAGAAGCACTGGTTTTATTTCCTCCCTTTCTAATCAATATGCCTAAGGCAGTTTTGGATACCCTCATCAAGAGAAGACTAAACGCCTATTTAAGTGCTGATGGCATGCTTAGTGTTATACAAAAGGATGTAATTTTTGGTCTGCATGTTTTATAATTCAGAGAGAGAATTAAGAATTCATGTGTCAGATGTTCCTGGTCTTTCTCAATCTGTTTTATATTACAGGATGGCCCGGATTAATTTAAGACATGGTCATTAATAATGACAACTGTCCACTGCTCTCAAAAGTAGTTAACATCACGTGAATAGGGTGCACACTTCATTATGTTATCAGGTTGCAAGCACCTTGTTTCTACCATTTATTGTTTCAGCACTTCAGAAGCAGCCCAGTCCTGTCTCTGTGAATCTTGGAAATTGCTGAAACACTTGGAGCAGCAGTGCACCTGCCCATTCATTATCTGAGCACGTCCGCTGTCCTGCAGACAGTAACTTAATTACAAAGCTAGTACAGTTTCATGACTGTCTGAAAGGTTTATTTCCCATCCCTAGCCTCAGGGAGCAATTGCATATTAATCATTTTAACCACTCACAGGAGAGTGTTCTTGTTTGGCACTTCATAAAAAGCTGCTCGACACAGCTGCATCTATCATCTGAGGTCTTCAGCTGCAGTTTCAGGCTACATCCAAATCAATCCAGTGGGAAACACTTTCCCCTCCCTATTGGCTCATCACCCACCATGCAGCACTTCTGGGGTTTGCCTGGTCCCCCTACATATTATATTGGGCAGCTAAACCAACATAAAGCATTCTTTCTTTTTCCTGATAATTTCTTGCCAGATTAATTCCTCAGACCTATTTGTTCTGGGGTCATGTAAATGCCAAATTTAGCTGGTGAAGAACAAGAAAGAACAGGAACACACTCTTCAGCAGCAGTTGCTCTTAAGATTGCCTCAGCTGTAACAATCCAGAACCATACTTGTGTTTTCTAAGAAATTGGGAGTCTCTGTCTTACAAGCACCAGCCCCTTTTCTTATAAGCAAAACACCTTTAATTCCTACCTCTTCAATCACCACTTGTATCCCTTCTTCCATACCTCACTTTTTCTCCACTCCTCCTTCTTTGGTTTAAGACTACAAAAGTACCATCCACTGTTCTATCTAATCAGGGAGTGCTGGTAAGAAATTATTCCTTTCTTAAGATATCTGCAAAAGCACCTATTTTACCTAATAGCAGCAATTTGTATTACACTGGCAACCCAGTGGCCTCATGCAAGAACATGCAGGGCTGAACACAAATGAAAGACATGAACACCTCACAAATAAAAGGAGATATAAGCGGATTTAAGTGGATCATAAAGGGAAAAAGTAGGACTGTTTCTCACTACAACAGATTAAAGCTGCCCCTGGAAGGCAAAATGGCATGTTCACCGTTAAAGGAGGTAAAATCCAGGACAGTTTGTAGAAGCATGTTCAGATGGCAGTGAAGCTCACTGTTCTCTCTGCATAGCTCCTTGCTAACTGGATACATTAAGTACAAAAACCACAGGTGTTTGGTCTTTGTCAGAATCAGCCCCACATCAGGTACTAGTTACCAACACAACTTTGGCAAGTTGATCCACAGTCAACAGGATAATATTGACATGACAAAAAGGTTATGCTTGACTCCAGAATATTCAAGACAATCTCATTCCTACCACCTGCACTGTGCTCTACCTATGTCTTTGCATTTTTTTTATTTTTTACTCTGAGATTTCAGCCCAGTCTGAATGGGAACATGTTGTCAGCTGTGCAAGCACCTGAGAAAACACAGAGGACAGCTGAACAGAATCTACAGAACAGAAGTGATCAGAGCCTTAAGGATTGACATGAAAAGACTGGGTGAAACAAAATCAGGATTGTCTGGTCTAAAGAGGAGATGTGATAATAGCCTTCAAACACATAAATGGTTGCTACAGAGAGGACAACAGAAATAATCTGTTCCTCGTGGGTGCAGTGAATATGACAGGACATAACAAGCTTAAAATGTAGCCTGGCAGATTTTGGTTAAAGACCACAAAAATCCTTGTAAAAGTAAAAACAAGGGTACTGTGGTGGATTACCAGCAGAGACTCAGTTACTAAGAGTAAGCTAGACAGAGACCTCCTGAACATTTACAGGCTGTTCTCTTGCTTTGGGACAGAGTAATTAAGTTAACATTTGTTAGAGACCTTCCTCAGCCCTGTGAGGCTGTTGTTATTAATTACATCTACTACATCAACACCTAGCTATTTATCAGCTACAGTGCTGAAACTCAGAGCTAGTGGCAAATGCCATGTTGTCCTGGATTGAGAGTTTGCTATCCGAGCAGACGAAAAAAACTAGAAGGTAGAAGAAAATAAATATACCATAAAAACTTAGTATGAAAACTGCAGCAAAAAGCACCTTTGTATACCTTTTTGGAGAATAATCCTAAAGAACAAGTGACAGATGAAAGAGTGGCAGAAGAGCTGTACTAAAATAAATGGGAGGCAATTTGAGAAGCAACTGAAGCAACCAGTCCTCAACACAGTACAAATCCAACACTGCTTGTTAATCACCACTCATCAGGCACCACTAAGCTGCACTGACTCTGCTAAATCCATTCTCTCACACCGTCTTCCACAAGCACAGGCAACATCCACATGGGTCCTCCTGTTCCCAAAGACACAGGACACCCAAGACAGCACAAGCGTGGAGGTTGTTGGGAGTTTCCAACTGAGCCATCAAGCTGATAACATGCTTCACTTCTGCTCCTTAGTTCTACCTCCACTAAATTCAGCAACAACCTATTGGAGGAAATAAAAAGCCTTGTTACATCCTCGTATTGGTACAAATGGTTGTTACCAGCTCAGTCACAACAACAAGCACTCCCAGATCCAGGACATCTCATCTGCACACTACTGCTGTCTGCTGACTGAACAGAGATGGTCCCACACATGACAGCTGTAGGAACTGCCTCAAGTTTCACAGGCTAGTGGCGTGTGAGAATGTATTGCTGCAGCACCAGCTCCAGCTGAGGACCCACAACACCTAGGTTCAATCCTACACGTCTCATGAAAAGACACGAAGCGCTTCATCTGTTCCCCGAGCATGAAACTCTCAGGCACATCATACACTCCCAAAAAGACAAGGCAAGAGGCACAAAAGCACTCCAACAGCCACATTAGGGAGCACATCTGCCAGGACAAGAGGCTATGCCAGACAAGGCACAGCCCTCCAAGGCAGCCGCACACCACATAGCCGGGGCTCGCTGCCGGGCAGGCTCGTCACACAACGATGCGCCTGAAGAGGAGCAAGCCCAGCTGTAGCTGTCAAACGGGCAACGACACGGCCGTTATCAGATGTCTCACCAGAGAAACGGCTCCCCGGCACGTTATTCCTGCACTTCACCGGGCCGCAGCTCCCCCAAGGCCCGCTTAGGAAGCCGATCTCGGCGGGGTAGGCCGGGGCCGGTAGACCTCTGCTAGCGAACTGGAACCGCTCCGGCCACGGGCCCGCCGAAACCGGCGACAGCCTGGGAAATAACCCCACAAGCGACTGGACCCAAACCGGCCCCTCCGAACCGCCACGGAGGCCCAGCCACGACCCCGGCCCCCAACAAACCCCCCACCCCTCACCTGCGCGCCCGGTGAGCCCCACGATCGGAAGTCGCCCCGCCCGCGCAAGGAATGCTGGGAACCCGCCGCCCGGCCGAGGGCCACCCCCAGACTACAAAGCCCAGGAGCCCCAGCGGCGGAAGGGGCGACCCCACCCCTGCGGCGCCGGGCCAATAGAAGGTGCGTCTGTGAGGAGGCGGAGCGAAGACCGGCCAATGGGATTTGGTCTCCGCGGGAGGGCGGGCGGTTCTAGCAGGAGGGGCGGACCCGAGTCGGTGGCTGAGGGACGGGGTGGGGGGCAGATACGGGAGGGGAGAGAGACGGCCGCGGAGGTCTCAGAGCTGCGTTGTTGCTGGCTGGCCGCTCCTGTTTTTTCTTCACCTTATAAGTGACGTTGGTTCGCTTTACCCCGCTGCCAGGACCCCGGGCTGAGGCGGGGGTGCTGTGAGCGCGGGGAAGGGGCGGTGCGGGGTGGGGTGGTGGGCCGGGGCGCGGAGCGGCGGCGGGCCGGGAGCACGGGCAGCCTCTAGTTGTGTTGCCATGGCGACGGGGGCGCTGGCCGCCATTTTGGCGGTCGTGAGGGAGTTCCCTCAGCGGGCTCCCTCAGGACCTCCGCCTCGCACCGCGGGTCCTGAAACCTGCCGGTGCGGTGGGAGAGGTGCCGAGGGCAGGTGTTAGCTCATCCCCAGGTCTGCGGCGGGCTGTGTGCCCGTGTGTACTGCCCCGAAGCGAAGGTTTGTTTCCCGACGCCGCCTACATCTTAGGTTTCTCCCTCGTTGCCGTCGCACCCAGACAGCGAGGCTCCCGAGATGGACGTGACAGGAAACACCGGTTCTAGTCACATGGAGAAGCTCAGGATTTCACGTCTCAGTTGACCAAACCTCCCCAGAAAGAGTTTGTTGAGTTATAGCTGACAAGTGTGCACTTTATTTTAAACATAAGAGTACAGCTTGCTCCCAGAGAACGTGCTGGATTAGATGACTGCTGAATCGGATCCAGTAAAACATCTTTAACACTGGGAGACTGACCTCTTAAGTTGGCATAGGGAGCCAGAGTAGGCAGTTTGTTTTTATTCCCATGGGACTCCTCTTTCCCTTAGCAACCTCTTATGAAAGTAGTACTCCAGCCTTGGGGATTTCCCTCCCCTTTGCCTAAATCGGTTTCAGGGGTTGTCTCTCATGAACAAAGGTGCCACTGTATGGATATGGCATATGAAGTATTTGCAGAGGTGCTTTGCCAGTTGTAAACTCCCCAGGGTATGAGATAAGTTTCACTGTACGTTTCGAGGAGTGTTGTTGGTCCATGCCAATGCATACAGTAGTGACAGTGTAATCGTATGAAGAGTTTTTTCAGTACTAAACAACATACAGTCACAAATCTCTTAACCTTTCTTGCCAAACAGAAAATAGTTACTCTCACAGTTGATTCCCCAGGAAACCATGCAATTGTAGCATAAAATTTTAAAAGCAAATTATTTCTGTGAGGATGAATTCTCTAACTTGTTAGTACTGCAGTAGTCCCTACTGTGTTGTCTCAACACCTCATGAACATCAAGGAACACATGAGGAAAAAGTCTGCTTTATAAACACTTTGAGAGGTCATAATCCAAGAGCGTGCCTACTCTCAACTATTTTTACACAAATCCAGTGGAAAAAGGCAAGCATAAATAATTTTATCTATCATTTGAGCAGTGAGGAGGGCTACATGAGAGAAATAGGGAAGAGGAATAAAATGGCTGTGAGCAGACATGTCAGCCTTGCCTTTAGTGTGAACGTGCTTCTCTGAGAACAGTTAGAAGTCAGTCTGGCTAAGAATCCCCCCAAATGCTTTATAAATGATGGGCTAAACCGTTCTTCCTGTGGCCCCAATTATGAGTGTATGTGGTGAGCAGGGCAGAAAGCTCTCAGCCCTCTGAACTCAGGTGGGAAGGAACGACTCCAAAAATGCAGATTTTATTGCTCACTGCTGACAGTGAAAACCCTGGGAGTGCTGAGAATTATGCTGACCCTGAATGCACATGCTTTGTTCTTGTTTTGTACTGATGTTATCCCTTGTGTTCTTTCATGAGGTATTCTTAAGCTCATCTTTCATTTGATTGAAGGGAAGCTGTTTGAATGGCCACAGAAGGGCAAAGTGAGGATACAGAGCATCCATCTGAGCCTCCTGCAGCTCCTGTTCAGAGTAACAGAACACTTCAATGGGGAGCTATACTTGCTGCAGTGAAAGATCAGCTCCCTTCTCTGGACTCTGACACCTCCACAGTAAGCACTGGAGCCTGCCTTTCTTTCTAACTGTCTTTTAGAAAAATCTCTCAAAAGCAAGACAAGGTCACCTTAGCCAGGCATTTCTGAGTAGCTAGGGTGGTGTCCTTGATGGGCTAGCTGTTCTGACTATTGTAACACCGTGCATTAATCCACAGCCTTCTGGATTATGTCTATTTGTCAAAGTGTAATTGCCATCTCCTCTCACTGTATTCTTTGGAACTTGAAAATGGGACTGATTTATCCAGATAATAAGTATTTCTAGATTGGCAAGAGGAGGGTAGCGGGCATCTTGCATAATGAGCCCACATTTCTTATTGTTTTTTTCAGTCAAAAATACAGTATGAAAGAAGCATACTGTTGATTTAAAATTAAATGATAAGGTTTCATGCTTGAGCATATTATGCTATTCATTGCAATAATATTCTTGCCAGACAGTAGGTCTGTTAGGGTGGTTTTCTATGTATGAGGATCACAGGAAGGTGATATTCCTGAAGACTTCATGGTCCACTGGAAAAAGCATCTGCAGATATTTCAATCCTGGTTTCTGCTTTTTTCCCTGCCTGTAATTCTCCGCAAGCCATATTGCTTTTTTGTACTTCAATTCTACCTGCAAAGAAGCACAATGCTGCTAACATTTTAATATAAAGTGTAAGATTGGTAGATATTGTGCAGTATTCTTCACCATTACAGCTTTTCTACTTATTGGGGTTTAGTATCTGGGACAGGCTGCCTCTTGGCTGCTGAAGATCTTTGTTCACAGGACAGCAACAATCTGGTGGAAATAATCAAAGTGCTTGCCTTTCTAGTCCAAGATGCTAGCTCTGGCATTGAATTTTCCAAGGCGATAATGTGTCTGAAGACTCAGTTATTAGTGGCCTTTTGTCCAAATCAGAATATTTTGTTAATTTTCAAACATGTATAAACTTGAAAAAATATTTTTGAACAGTTAAAGAGCATATTTTATTCTAACTTAGTGTGGCCCTTAATGATACAAAGGCAGCCTTGTGAGCAGTGAAGGAGTCAGAAATGTCTGCATATGGTATTTATGACTTATTAATAATCAGTCATCAGAAACAGCGTGATCTAGTGGATAAAGTGTTGATACGGATTCCATTACATCTTTTCTGCACCTGGCTCTATCACTAACATGTTGGACAAGTTATGTTGCCTCACTGTTTCTCAGTTCCCCTCTACCTACATTCTGGTTTAGTTATTTAAAACAACCATTGCATTTTAATATATGTCTACATAGTATAAATTAAGACCCAACACCTAGAAGTTATTTTCAGGCATTCTTGTTGTATAAGTATACAATAAGGTTAAGACAGAGAGATGGCTTTGTATTTTGGTACAAAATACCATTCTATAACTCTAAATCACACAGAACATTTTTTAACTTATAAACAATCTCCAAATTCTCTGTTTCTATTACATGTGGAAGAAATTTCCTGCTGAAGGAGCTGAGGCAATCTATTTGGCACTTACATGCTACCTTTAATTTGCATTCAAAAGATCTGGTTGTATAAACCCTCTCGTGCTTAATGTGAAACAGTAGCCTGCTGAGCCTACAGTTTCAGTGGTGCACCTTTGTCCGAGTGGTTTCCACTTGTGTGAAGATACATTTATGCATCCAAGATCTGTAACCTCAATGTGCTGTGCTCCTGCATTCCAAAATGGCACTGACAAGTGTGTTTTATGCTGTGAAGTATTTTCATTACCCTGGTACGTAGTTTATTAAGAGTAAAGTAGTTCTGTTACAGTTTGCTTCTTGTTAAGTAAAATGAATTACACCAGAGAGACAGTATTCTCCACAGTGTGAGTTACTGGAAATGTACATTTGCAAAACAAGGACAAGCAGGAAATCTGTGTCCTGACTGCTGAGGAAGCGCTTAATCTCACTTTGTTGCCTATGCATAAGGATTCATCTCAAAATGCATATCATCTGTCCAGAAAGGAGAGTTTCAAAACTGTTTGAACTGTCCTACCTTACATAGATAGCGCTTGACATTCTGAATAGTGAATGTCAGCATCCTGATTGCAATAATGAGCCTTCATGGCCCTGCCCAGCCTCAGCTGGGGCTCCCACCCACACGCCCAGCATCTCTATTTAAGCTCAGCTCTGGGCCCTCACTCTTTGAGCAATGTTGGAGGAGTACTGGTTTTTAGTTACAGGCCTGTGTGATCCTGACTTTCACCTGTGAATTGACTTTCAGGCTTGACCTCTGACTTGCCTCATCATCACAATATCATCTTATGATATGGATTCTTAACCTGGTCACTACCTCTGGTCTGTCCTGCTCATTCTTCTTATGTACTGTGGGATTGGCCTTTGCCCGGGGAGGCCCTTGCTTTTCCAGTTATGTGCTTCCCCTTCCCTTAGGGAGCAACCCTGCTCTTATTATTTTGTGATGCTGAATGAGGTTGTGGAAGGAATCACTTGACAGAGAACTTGTCTGCTCTTGTCACTGCTTTTCTCAGAGAGATGTTAGTCATCAATCTCCATGATAATTCAATGTTTTGCATGGTTTTTACAGTGGTAGCTTGCTCAAATGTTAGGCTGCTGTAATATAGTCTAGGTTGGTGAGTGTTGGGCTATCAGACTGTCTACTGAAGATGTGACTGCAGAGAAAATTCTTGTATCTGAACTACAGTCAAGCAGTGACAATGTAGGATTTATCACTCCAAAATGGATATTTAGGTGAGTAATACAGTCTCTCACTTAACTTCTCTTTTTTCTTTGCAGTCTGATTGTGAGAGTGATGGGGAGCTCTTCATCTTCCAGAGAGAACAGCCAAACTTA